GAGTGCAGTGGTGCAATCACAGCTCACTGCAATCTCAAACTCCTGGGCTCAGGTGATCTTCCCACCTTAACCTCCTGAGTAGCTGGGCCTATAGGCATGTGCCACCACACATGACTACTTTTTTTTTTTTTTGAGTCACCACCATATCAAATTTATTATTCCAATGGCACTAGTACAAGCTGGAGGTGCTCATGGTGACGCTGCACAGGACTTCCTGCCTGCTAGAAATTATCTATCCGCTTGTTCCTTTCCTCTTTCTGGGGCAAAAGCCACAACGGGTCAATTACCCAAATAAACCTCTTAATGCATTTGTTAAATTTGTTTGGACATCTGAGTTTCCCTCTGAAGAAATGGAAAGTGTTGGGTGTCCCATCCCACCTCCCTCTCCCCTACAGGCCCAGTAAGTCCCTGCAAAGAGGACGTGTCTGCTGCCTCTGGACTCTGGAAATAAATATGGAAAGAAATGGCATCAAGTGTTGAGCTTGAGCGATGGCGTGCAGTGGGCCCCATAAACTTCTGAGGGGAGCGTCGCTGTGTCGGGACAGTCTCCAGGTGTCGTCTGAGAATGTGAGGACGTGGTGCTGTAGGTGCCGTCAGTCCCTGGGGCGGCAGACGCTGCAAGAGGTGCCGCCTACAACTTGTCCAGGAAGTTGTCCAGGGCCGGGATGCCTTCCTTCAGGCCCTTGTGCTTTCGGGTCTCTGCCACCACCTGGCTGGGGTGGCTGGTGTTGTTGACGGGGTCTCCGGGCAAGATCTGCCAGTCATCAAACACACACTGGGGGAAGCCCTGACCGCCCGTGTTAGGCCTCAGGTCGGCAGTGAAGCTGAAGGACTCATTGACGGGCAGGTATGCCTTGATGACAAACATGGAGGTACCGGCCACCTGAGACTCCTCGAACACGTGGCCCCGCTTCCTGTTCAACACCCCATAGATGCCACCAACCACCTGCTCTGGGCACTGAATCTCCACCAAGTAGATGGGCTCCATAAGGTGCGGCTGGGCGGTCAGCACACTGGTGTAGAGGCAGCGCACGCCGTGGGGTTGATCTGACCACCCCCGCAGTGGATGGCGTTGGCTTGCAGGGTCACGTCATGGATGTCGAAAAGCACGCCCCGCATGTTCTCCTCACACAGCGCGCCCTCCTTGGTGGCCCATTGGAAGCCGGCCACCACACTGTCCTTGATCTCGTTGAGGTACTGCACGCCCTTGGTGATGTCGGTGAGGATGTTGGGGCAGGTGCCGTCGGGCCCAAAGCACCAGATCTTACTGGGCTCAGCCACATCCCACTTGTATTTCCTGGCCAGGTAGCGCGCCTGCTGCTTGAGCTCCTGGTGGGCAGACACCTCGCTTTTGTCGATGTCCTCGGCCAAGCCATCGGGGAAGGGCAGCGCCTTCATGTACAGCCAGTTGTGCTTGTTGGGGGACTTGGAGAGGCAGAGCACATTGGACTCTTCACTGACCATCTGACGGTACGAGACGACAGGGTCAGATTTCTTGATGGGGATGCAGGCATGGTCCTCTTCCACGTCCTTGAGGCAGATCTCCAGGTGCAGCTCGCCAGCACCTGCGATGATGTGCTCTCCTGACTCCTCAATGATGCAGTGCACCATGGGGTCGGACTTGGCCAGCCTCTTGAGACCCTCCACCAGCTTGGGCAGGTCGGCCGGATTCTTGGCCTCCACGGCCACCCTGACGACAGGGCTGACGCTGAACTTCATCACACGCATGTTGTGGGCATGCTCGAAGGTGGTGATGGTGCCCGTCTTCACCAGGAACTGGTCCACACCCACCAGGCCCACAATGTTCCCACAAGGCACATCCTCGATGGGCTCCACGTAGCGACCCATCATCAGGATTGTTCTCTGGATTGGCTTCAGGTAGAGGTCCTCCTTCTTCCCGGGGGTGTAGTTCGGCCCCATGATCCTGACCTTCAGGCCGGTGGAGACTAGCCCAGAGAAAACCCGTCCAAAGGCGTAGAACCGACCTTTGTCGGAGGTTGGCACCATTTTGGAAATATACATCATAAGGGGGCCTTTGGGGTCACAGCTTTTAATGCCCATGGCAGCCTCGTCGTCC